ATTTGGAGTACAAAAACAATCCTGATATCATTAGAAAGCTAGGAATATCCTCTTTCCAGCAGTGTATACAACTCAAAATGTGTCTTCGGGTCAATGCGACTGATTTCGATAGAGCAGGTCACATATGTACATACAAAATGTGTGCTTTTAAAATGTTATATTCAATATTGTCATTTTAAAAATAAAAATGTTTCAATAATTTTTTTAGACGGAGCTCCATGGTGACTTGTGCTATTTTTAGAACATGCACGCGGGCGACCAATTTCCCCCCTGCGGGCGACTTAGTGCCCGCGGGCACCGCGTTGGCTACCCCTGGTGTATACAGTGTTTCGTGAATAGCTGAAAAACTGTATGCGAGTAGTTTGGAGTAATTTGCGATATGTAAATTGTCAAAAATGGTGTATTCGCTTTTAGCTTACGACCTCCACAATTGAGCTATCAAAAATGTTCATCGTAATTTAGCATCATATTGGATAGGGGCCGAACTTGTCCTGAATTGGAATTTTTCCGATCATTCCCCTAGGAGGAATTCGCAAAAATGTCCTTAAAATGAATAAAAAACGCACATTTTTCAAAATGGCCAACTTTCTGGGGTGGGGCTAATAAAAGCAAATTTGAAATATGTCCGCAATCATAAGAGAAATTTGTAAACAGCTTTTCGTGAATATCGGAAAAACTATATTCGAGTAGTTTGGAGTAATTTGGAGTAATTTGTGACATGTAAATCGTAAAAAATTGAAAATTCTCCGTTCGCTTACGAACTCATCGTTTGAGCGAACGACTATTCCTTTGCAACTTAGTATCACATTGGATATTGGCTGAACTTGTCCTGGATTGGATTTTTTCCGATCATTCCCCTAGGAGGAGTTTGCAGAAATGTCCTTAAAATGCATGAAAAATGCACATCTTTCAAAATGGCCGACTTTCTGGAGGGCGGGGCTAATAAAAACAAATGTGAAATATGTTGGCAATCATAAGAGCAATGTGTATACAGCGTTTCGTGAATATCGGAAAAACTATATGCGAGTAGTTTGGGGTAATTTGCAACATGTAAATCGTCAAAAATTGTGTAATCGCTGTTAGCTTAAGACCTCCATTATTGAGCTATCAAAAATGTTCTTCTCAATTTAGCATCATATTGGATAGGGGCTGAACTTGTGCTGAATTGGAATTTTTCCGATCATTCCCCTAGAAGGAGTTCGCAAGAATGTCCTTAAAACGCATGAAAAATTCACATTTTTCAAAATGGCCGACATCTTGGGGGGCGGGGCTATAAGTGTGCAACATTTCAGGTCATTTGGACTTACGGTGCAACTTCGTAAATCTTTCACAAAATGGGAAAGGCCATAGGTGGCGCTAGCCAGTATTTTGCACAATTTGAACCCATTGACTCCAGAATGCTGCTATTTTTACCGGTCCTGGCGTCCGTGCAAAATTATAGAACTTTTTGAGCGTCCTAAAGCCCTCAAAAACAAGAATGATGGCGTGGAATAATAATAATACCATCAATAACAATAGGTTCCTCGCACTTCGTGCTAGGACGCCATTGGGTCCTAGCGCTCCGTGCTCGGGCCCTAAATATGATTCAACATTCAGCAAGCTCTCAAAGCCACTGCATGGCTTTATTTCTGAGTCATTCAGGGCGCAGTTGAACAAATCCTCCCAGAAATCTCTTAAAAACTGTCTGTTTGGAAACTGTGAGCGATGGATCTGCCTCAGGTGTTCCTCCAGCGCCGGGATCTGAGCTTTGCTCACAACGAAGCCCAGTGAGCCCACAAGGATGCTGCGACCCTCGCTGTCAGTGAGAGAGTGATCTGTGATCCAGGCGTCACTGCCAACCAGCTGCATTCCTTTAATGTTCTGTCTGTAAAACTCAGTCGCCAGCAACTTAATTTCTCTGTGGGACATAAAAGCCATTATCACTTTGGAAGTGGCATGCGTAATGATCTCTATTATATTCTGTAGGCTATCAGGTGGACCCGACAATGAAAATGCTTCAGAATACTCAATGCACACTCCATATTCTTTTGCAGCTTTGATAAATAAAGCCATGCCATTCAGGCCATATCTATTATCAACAGCAAGAGCACCAATCCAGGTCCATCCAAAGTGATGGACCAGCTTTGCCAGTGCTCTGCTCTGGTATAGTCACTTGGAATTGTTCTGAAAAACATGGGATCTCTTTTCTGCTGCTCAAACAGCCACAGGTTGCATAATGGCTGATCTGCAGTAAAATAGACAAACATAAGAAGCGTCTAAATGACCCCTGAGCGAAAAAATGCTGACGCACTTTGCACAGAACTCAAGGTAAATATACCCTTATTACTTATCGTAACTGCACATACAAGATATCCAATTAAAGCTGAGATTCAACAGATTATATAGGTATGAGTATCATCACTGAGCGATCAGAACTCGCGACAGGGGAAGCAAACATAGACATTGCAACACGTAGCATTACCGAGCAAACACGGGAGATCGTCTCACCTTAGCTGTTATTCTGATCAAAAGTCGTGTTCAATGGCATTAAAACTATAAAAACGCTGCTGAGGGTTAATCTAAACGTTAATCCAATGTGTCTGTCACTTTGAAAAAATTATTGATAATCCATAATTCAATATCCATGTAAAAATCAGAGAAATAATATTAGCTGCTAATGGTAGCCACCAGAGTTATCGCAGCTTCCGGTTTTGGCTACGCGTCACTCTCACTCCTTATTTGGTAACGTGTTGTGGAACCTCCTCTCGATTCCATTGGCTCTAGCGGTTAAAAAGATATGTCAATCATCAACATCGACCAAGGAGGGCCAGAGATAGGTCAAATCCACCGAAATGACCCCAGAAGGGTTTTCTTTTTTGGCTAAATCTCTCTATAAAGGTCAAATTTTTGTGGACGGACGGACAGACACTATAATTTTTTTTTTTTTACTGTGTTCGATCTGAATTTACTTT